ATACTAATGTCATAGAACGGATACCTAATACAAATAAATAAAACATATCCAGTTAACTAGCAGAGCATTCATTTAGTTCGCTATTAAATAAGAGATCTAGCGCTTAAATCTGTTGTTTTTGAGATCCAGCTGAGCGCTCGTGCTGCTGCGATCAGTGTCATGGATACTGTTGTTCTCTTGTGGCTCGCGGCGCGCGCAGTCTTCGCTCGGACGCGCGCTTCAATCTATCGCCGTTGCGGAGACTATTCATTCCGGTGAAATCACAAAATAAAATGCACACAAACGTGTCCCTGCTTGATCTAGATATATATACAGCTATATCTAGGAGCTAAAGTTCAATCTTTAAAAGCACTCCATCTTGTTAAACTGTTTACTTTTTTAATGAAGATAAAGAAATACAGCAGCCTATGTCTTCCAGACTATTTATCTCAGGTTGTTAGAGTTTGTTTGATTTATTTAATTTGCTACAGTTACTGCAAACACACCTTATATTATTTAAAGTTTACTTTTGAAGAAAATACTTGAAGTACAGAATGTCTACCAGACCAGTTGTCTAACATTGGGAGTTTGATTTATTTAATTAAGAATTTGTAGTTTAAAAGTTTACTTTTGTTGTGAACAAAACACTTGGAAGTACAGGTTGTTAACTTGACCAGTTGTCTCAGGTTGAGAGAGTTTGATTCAATTTGCTAGAGTTAAATGCACTTTATATGGTGTAACTGTTTACTTTTCTTACAAAGATAATACTTGAGGTGCAGGATAAACCACTTGCTGTCTGTCGACGTGCAATAAATATCGAAAGTTACGCACAAACACCTGTCTGTTCTACTCATTTCAACTGACTTGTGAAAACTGCTAAAAAAAAATCCAAATTCTTTGACATATAGCAACTTTTTTTTTAACAGTAACGCAAATAGTTACTTTCCCTGGTAACGAGTTACTTTTATTATAGAGTAATTCAGTTACTAACTCAGTTACTTTTTGGAACAAGTAGTGAGTAACTACAACTAATTACTTTTTTAAAGTAACGTTCCCAACACTGATGACGAGCCTAGCTGAATGGAGAAGTTGCAGTGTAGTGTTAGGTTGGCTGGGACCACAAGCAAATCTGTCTTCGCAAGGTTTAGTTGAAGGTGGTGGTCCTTCATCCAGCCAGACATGTCTGTCAGGCAGGCTGAGATGCGAGCAGCTACCGCCGGATCATCTGGCTGGAATGAGAGGTAGAGTTGTGTGTCATCAGCGTAGCAGTGATAGGAAAAGCCATGTTTCTGAATCACAGATCCTAGTTAGGACAGAAGCAGAAGTTGTCCAAGCGGGATGTTAAAGTGGAGAAAAGAGTGTGAGTTGCACTGTTAGTATATCTAGTGTTGAGAGCTGATCAGGTGGAGGAAGTGTGGATGAGACCAATGAGGATAGGCGAGAGTGAGCGTAGGTTTCGCCGAAAGGTGACCTGTTGAGTTTGTGTTGTGTTCTGAGGTAGGTTGAGGTTGAGCGTGAGGAGGAAATGATCTGAGGTGTGCAGCGGAGTGACCAGCGTATGGTCAGTGGAGCAGTAGCGCATGTAAATTTTTTTGAAACATTTAAAGCTCAGCTAAAAAATGTAAACTTTGTCCTAATTTACTCACCATGTTAGAAACATTTATGACTTAGGCCTACTTTATGGAGCACTAGAAGAGAAACTATGAAGAGAAATATGCGGCTGGTTGTTTTCTTTCATGCAGTTAAAACAGATGGAAAACCTTCAAATAGTCAGATTTACCAGCTATATTCAATATAGTCATATCACACGACAGATTTATGTGAAGGGAAGCTGAGAGATAAGATGGATCCAGACTACACAGAACAAACACAAAGCCTCCCCTGATCCAAAATCAGCTGATATAGTCCCATCTGCTGCCACTGTTATCTGGCATCACTTCCTTGTTCTGGATGTTGCATCTGATGATCAACCTGCTTTAAATATTGAACCGTCTGAGTAAAACACACATGGCGCATTCAAATAGGTACATAATCAGTGTAGTATCAAGTTCAAGCATGTAAAACAGAATGCTAATGCTATCTTTTGCAAAGGATAAAGGTGTGTTCAGGGTGAAATTGGATGAGACGTGCAAGTGTGTGAGCTGCAAAAATAATTTTAAACCAGAATTTTGTATTTCTTTCCAGTAAAAATATCCTTTCATGCATGATAAATGTGCTATTTATATAAACATATATCTTGAATTAAGTTTCCAAGTACTAATAAGTAGGTATAAATGCTTTCAATTAGATTTAAAGTGAGTCTTTATTTGTATTTAGATCACACACTCTTGCATATGCAATAGTTTTTCTGCCGCAAAATAAGAATCTGTCGTGTATGTGGTCAGTGACCCTGGCCCAGCTCTGAATTTATTAGCACGTCGGCCTGTGATTTGGCCGAGCAGCGTGTTGCGACATGCACAGAACAGCTGGCCATCTTTCTTTTTACATTTTTGCTCATTCCAACACCAGACAGTGTGAAAGATGAAACGCTGTCAGACATACCATTCATTTTCTCTATCACAGCCTCTCTTCTCTCCATGCCATGGCCTTTGAGCGTAGTATCCATGGATTTCATGTGGAAAAGTTGTGTTTTATGTGCAGAAGCTCCATGAATTAAATCAGGCTTTCTCATGTTTTGTTTAAACCAAACGCTCCTTTCATAATCCTAAACTGTTCACCAACACCACTATGAGAAAGAGGAAATAACAATATCAACAACAATAGACCAAATAAAAAGCAATTCAAGATGTTGTCATTGACCCATACAGCTAGTTACCCTAAATAAATTGGCCATAATTATTATTTTTTTCAACCTTCACAGACCCTTCACTAGCAGGTATAATAAAAGCCAAAAATAATTGCATCATAAATTCTTGTAACTCTAAGGTTATGAAATCAATTAAAAATCCAAAATGCACAATATTTTTACAACATCTTTGATGATAATTTTGATGATAATTTCAACATAATACTTCATTTAATTTATTAATATTTTAATTCGCATAAATCAATACTTTAAAAAAAATAATTTATTAGGTAACGCATTATGGAATAACATGAATGAACAATAGTATATTTTTAAATGAATAACTATAATAAAATGTTATTAAAAATTGAGTAATGTTGGACATGAATTTGTAATTAATAAAAAACGAACAAACATTAAACTAGATTAATAAATAAATATGAAATAAAAAACATACAAAATTAATATTTCATTTCAGCTTACCCCAGGAAAACTTTCTCATTTTTATTTAGTTTAAATAACTGATACTAAAACTAAAAAAAAAAAAAAAAGAAGCTATTTAGACATGTAAACTAATAAAAATGACAAAAACAAAAAAATTATTACAACTTTAAATTATAAAAATTATAATGAAAACAGAAACTATAAAAATAAAAACTGATTCAAACTATTAATACAAACTATAATATAGTATCTTAATGATTCAAATGAAAATATTTAAAGAAAGTTTTCTGCTTAGGCCGTGCAGTTCCTCCTCAGACCCCCAGGGGTCCCTGGTTTGAAAACACTGGTACTAACGCATTAGCAACAAAACGCCTCAACCAAAGGTTTAGGATTCACGGTTAGAGAAACTATATAGTCTTAAGTGGATTATCTTGAAATAATAAACTTGTTGACAAGCATTTTTCACTCCACCAGCAGCGCTTCAGTTATTCCCGTTTGCAGCTCCGGTGTCTTGTTTTACAGGTCCTCTTCCATGATAGGAGCCCGTTTTCTTTAGTTGGAGATAGGGAATGGAGAGATAACACAACCATACAGTGACACATTTTGTGGGTGTGGATAAAGATAAGGATTAAATAAATCAAAATAAATCCCTGTGAAATCAGGTTTATGAAGAGAACCATAATACTCCAGAAAGTGATGGGACAGAGTTGGAAGGTGAGAGAGGGATTTGCCTATGACAAATCAGACAGGAAGACAAAGAGTGAGGCCAGGGAGTGTCGGCGGCTCTTATCTCACGGAGCAGCAGGGAGCCGTTTATCTATTGTCCGGAGGTGGCAGCACTGTGGCCGTGACACGCACGATGGAACAATTAACTCGCTGGCATTTCGTCTTATCTAACATAACTCAGCACTGACAACATCTTCGGCCACAGCTGCTGCAAATCATTAGCTATCACTGCCATCCGAGCAACAAAAAGGAAAATAAAAGACTTGCTTTGACATCCAGCATTGTCCCCGTGTGTGAAGGGATGAGCCGTTCCCAAACTCTCCGGGACATTATTGGCCACTGGTTCAATCAGGTTGAAATTCATCTTCTATGTATAAGGCAAGTCTTTTAGAAAGTAGAAAGATCTTTGTCTAAGGGCCCTATCATACACCCAGCACAATGCGGCACCAGGTGCGACTCAAGCCTTTTTTTGCTAGTTTCAGCCCAACGCAGTTATCATTCTCACGTCCTGCGCCACGTTAATTAAATAACAAATGCATTTGCGCGCATTTGCGCCCATTTGTGTGCCCATGGGTGTGCTGGTCTGATAACGATGTGTGTTCAGGCGCATTGTTGGCGCGTTGCTATTTTGAGGCAACTGAAATAGACTGTGCAGTATTTTTTTTGTTATTTAAAGGGTGATATGCGCGGTGGGTCCACCACTCTGCTTATTACACACACAGGGAGCACAACTCCCTTACGTTGAAGTACATTTTACAATGTTGAAAGTAACTTTAATCTTTCTTGCATTCTTCGGTGTGTTCACAACTTGAATTTTTATATATATAATATTTAGGATTCATGTAATTCATAGAATGTTTAATTTTCACCAATTAATATGAAATAAAATTTTGCCATCTGCAGGTTAAAAGTATTTTTTTTGTGCCATATTGGCTAAATCTGGCAAAATGTATCAATCATTGTGATGTTAATTAATGTGTCCCTCACAAATAAATAAAATGCATACAAAATGACTGAATTAAATGTTCTGTGTTCTCCCCCAAGGAAATAAAAGCTTCATTCAGTGTTTAAAAAATTGTTTTATTAGTGTTTAATTGCAAAATGCACAGTCTATATACAAGCATTAATAAAAACTTGAAATTGTGTATTTTTGTGGTTCATGATGTGTATTGACAGTCATATCAATAAAGACCACAACCTGCAATTGTTAGTGCTTTTTTCCAGTTTAGTCCTTCATTTCAACTCCTTTGCTGTTTTACTATGGTAAAAGTCTACTCAGGGAGTTCATTCTACTTACATTCAAGACAAATTAAGCCATTTAAAAGCCAAACTGGAGTCGTCCTCGGGATATTTCTCATTTTCAAAAGCCGGTTAAATAGCTTTTCACAGTAAATATTCAAAACTGTTACGCTTTAAATTCAAATTCATAAAAAAACATTGGTATATTTTTAATGTAAACAAAGTGTTAAAGAGCATCTAAAAATAGTCAAATAACAGCAACAAGGTGACAGACGAGTACACAGTTATTATAAACACAACATCATAGTCCCATTTCTTAAAAAAAAAACAAATATAAAGAATGGCCATAATATTATAAATAAGAGTTTCACTTGAAAGCTACATGTGAAGACAAAGTCCTTCACTTCTCAGACTCTCTCCAGCCTCGAGCGTTTCGGCCAAACTTATAGACAAGTCTACGTCCATCCACCCGTTCCAGGATCTCTCGTTTATAATAATACCTTTGGAGGTGAAAACAGAGAGAGAGAAACATGTGAGAAGCTCGGAATACTGATCAGAATCCTTTAAAAAGTTGCAGAACTCCAGGGAAGATGTTACCTCATGGCTCGACTGAGTTTCTCGTAGGTCATACTGCTGTTATTTTTCTTCTTGCCCCAAAGCTGAGCCACAGCTTCCGACTTAAGAAAGCGGAAAACCCCTTCGGAGCGATCCTCCCATTTGATTAGGCCAGGGTTACGCTCGGGGTTCAGGAGAATGTCTCGGATGAACTCCCACAGGTGCGTCCCACGAGGGTCTGTTGAAATATGAGATTGTGTGAACGTAGAGAATGAGAAACCAAAGGAATCTAAAGCAGTTTAAAAAAGCACATCCACGTGCCAGAGGTTTCGGTATGTGCTGCTGTCAGTGAAGCTCAGAACACATTAACAGAAAAAAAACCCTTTAGGGAAGTAATATATTAATAACCTGTCAACTTACTGTGTCTTTTGACTTGTGACCGTTTGGGATCTGAAAGGAGAAAATGGAAATGAAACCATATTTATTAAAGGGACATCTCACATTTCTTTTTGGATCAAGAAACTCCAATAACTATGAATAATAACTCCAGTTTTGGCTTTAAAATATTTTATGGCTTTCGAAGACTAGTGCACGAGTCATATGAGCTGCGTCCTAAAGCTTAAAAATGTTGCCTTTGGAGGATGCATTCCAAGGTAGGAAGGCAATAAGGCATGTCTCCTGAGATACCTGAGAACAATTTTTGAAGGCAGCATAGATGTATCCTTCACTGCCTTTGATATCCCACAATCCTGTGCGCTCCATTCTGTGGAACAGTTGGTGGTCAGATTGTGTGTAAATGTAAATTTTTGACCAACTTTTTCCACTTTTGTTGTAATTTCTAGCGAGAAATTAGTACTGTAGTAATGTAATATACTCTTAGTTATCACTAAAGCTCTCTCCATTTTGTTGTAGAATAGATCATCAAACCTCAGAAGTCTGTCCAAAATCCGTTCCGTGAGATACTTTCATGGGCAAACGCTGCTTGCAAAGTTGCAAAGCTGCCTGATAGGGCAGTGAGGCAACAAGTCAGCTGCCTAAGCGTTTAGACACAGCCATGGGTTCGATTCTCAATACCGGCTGGAAAACGTACTGTAGGTTGGGGGAGTGAATGAAAAGCGCTCTCTTCCACCCTCAATACCCACGACTGACCCCCTCAATTGCCCCCCGGGCGCCACAGCGAATGGCTGCCCACTGCTCCGGGTGTGTGTCCATGGTTTGCAGTGTGTGTGTGTTCACTACTCACTGCTCATAATGTGTGTGCACTAACTTGGATGGGTTAAATGCAGGTCATGTCACTTCACGTCACTTTAAGGGTGCTTTGATGACCTTTTTGTAGTCCAGTTAGTATTCATTCCAATGTAATTGTATTATAACTATGAACATTAGTATGTACATTAGTATGTAAAAATATGTATTTGCAAGCGAGTTAAAACAGATCTATTTATACAATAAATACATTTTTATCTCTTAATGCATTCCCTTGGAATTGGACCCATAACCGTGTTTATACACTTAATAGATTTTATATGCATCAGGATAATTGAACAACAAATATAAGCATTACCACTATACCATACCATACCATGATACTGGCATAGAGAGGAAGTAATACTATAGCTTTAGGAGAGTTCAAATTAAGATCATTTACCTGGGCTTGAGGGAGCCGGTGAGGTCAGTGTGATGTTGGGCTGGAATGAGCTTTTGATATCAAACAGTTCTGAGGAAAGGGGAAATTTGACAATATTGTCAAACCATCAGATTAATATGTGCATAAATAAACACACTTCATCTTGTTTTCATAGGAAACATGTAAATCACAAAAAAAAAAAAAAAAAAAAAATCATCAATGGATTTCACAGGTACCTGAAGGGCTGTAAAAGCTGGGTTCTTCCTTGAAGGGGAGGATTGAACATGGGAAATCTGCTGAGGAAATTTAAGCACTTGGTCACAAAATTGCGACATGAGAAGTCTACAATTCTTTCAAGAGAATCGGATCGAATCAGAACTTTATGGATTAAAACGAAATCAAAAGCTTTTTGTAATTTATTTACTCACCATCTATTTCTGTTTTAATGTCCCCTGGTATAAACATATCTGTTTGACCATACTGACCTGTGAGACATTAAGAAAAAAAAGAAAAAACAAAATGAGTGTCTAAAAATGTCTTCAAAACAGAGTGCATGTTTTGCAACGACTATCATCAAATTTCCAAGTCATTCCTGCATCATGTTGTCTTAAACCAGTTAAACTTGCTGGCATGGTTCTCACATGTCACCTCTTTAAGTTTTTCTGGATTTTATTAGGTTTAGTAATACACTGTAATGGAAACTATCAAAAGTATAGACCTGACTGTTTATGCACCTCTTGGTCTTTTTAGCAGCACCCCTCTGGATTCATTATACTATGGAAATTTACAATCCATTTCACATATTTGTTTCTCTAAAAACAATTTCATGGGAATATCTATGGGTGAACATTTCCAATGAACTATACCAGAATGAATCCAAGAGGGACAAATGCTCAATGGCTGGACTTACCAAGCTCATGCTTGTGAGATTTCACTAGAACAAACACAAATTTTTCCACAAAAGAATGCTTCTGTTTAAAATTGGGATCCCCAAACGGCAAGCTCTGACAAGGATACTTGCTGCCAATTATACCACTTCATTTGAAAATTATAAAACACACCGTCATATTATTTTTGTTGAACACTCAATGGAATGTTCAATGTTCCTGAACTACCATCCTTTTTTTTGTTGTTGCTATTTTTGGCCTTTCTACCTTTATTTTGATAGGACAGTCAAAGAGACAGGAAATGAATAGATATACGAGAAGAGAATGGGATCAGGAATTGACCACGAGTTGTCATCTGATGTAATTTGGCACCATGCCCAAGGCTATGGATCCAACCTGGATTATCATCCTTTATCTGTCTTGAAACAACATTCCTATAGCAAACAATCGAAAGATAAACCCACACAACCGCAACTCTTATCCCTACCCCAAAACCATAACGTACTCCGTGTCAGAGGGAATCAAAGGGAAACTTCTGATTGACAAGAAGACCTAACCCAAACTCAACCCTTAAATCCAACCGTAACTATCTGGTTGATCAAGGACCAACAAGGTTGTTGATCCAGGACCATGTTCTAAATGGCATCTTACCGTTCCACTTGAGGTCAGTCAGGCTCTGGAAAAGTATAGAACCTACGGATCCGGCCGCCCGGGTGAAGTCTTGGAAGCTCATGTTGCACAATTGCCTCCCGTCAAAGTCAAAGTTCTGGAAGGGAATGCTGGTGGCATCAATTTGGTGCATGTCCAGCATCTGTTGGAGCCATTCCCACACCTGGTACTTGGTCCAGTTCTGTGGGTGATGATCCTGAGACCAGAGCCGGCTTGTGTAACCGGATGTTACCATGGAAACTGGGGATGCAGAATAGTTTCAACAGGATTTAACAAATGTCTCTACTGAAACCTTGTTTATGCTGGTTGGTCAAGTGGACCAATACTGTCACATTTGACCATTTTAGTGAAGACTTTGTTTTACCTAGAGTGCACCGGATAAAACTACTAACTGGAGTAGAATGAAGTGAAACGTTTCTATGCTGGTTAGGACCTGTTCAAGCTGGAGGATCAGCACAATTATGGTGTTTCCATCTGAGTTTGCTGGTGAAGTTGGTTGACGTCTTTATTGTAGCAGGTTGACTAAGGAAGTCTTACTGGTTTAGCTACAGCATAGGTCTTCAATCCTGCTCCTGGAGACCCACTGACCTTCAATGTTTATTTCCAACCTGCTTCCACAAACCTATGATTTTCAAGCAATCATGAAGACCTTGATTAGCTGGTTCAGGTCTGTTTGATTAGGGTTGGAGCTAAACTCTGCAAGATAGTGGGTCTCCAGGAGTTGGGTTGAAGGTATCTGAGCTAGACTGCAGGACAGTAGCATCACATGTGGGGACCATCAGATCCATAACATAATATATGCTGTTGAACAGCTAAACAAGTCTTTTCAGCAGTGGTGAAACTAATATTCACCGAAGAAGATTCAGTTCCACACTGTAAAAAGCATAAAAAGTACCTCACACGGTTTCTAGATAAGCATGAATCACTTTCACTATCTCTATCATGGTCCCCTGTGCATGCAACTGATAACCTGGTAACTCCAGCAGTGACTGCTAGAGTAAATGATTAACCTGCCAGAAAGAGTCTCCGCTGATTAGTGATAAACGAAACCTACAACATAAAATCTTAACTGGAATTACTGGATGGCAGAATAACCAGAAGTGCACCTTCTTAGACTCCTTAGTTCATGGTGTTTCAGATGAAAAAGAAATTTACCATCAGCACAGTTGTAGTGGGCCATCCATGAAGCAGGTAGCTGGTTGTCGATACTCACAGTAGCGGGGATACTCATGACACCGCTGGCCTGAATGACCATGATCCAGTGCTGTTGAATACAGGATATGAAAAAGAAACTTTACTTGTTGCCTTTATTCACCCAATGTAACTTTGAAAGGTCAACATGGACTAGAATAGTCTAACTTAGCCTCGGACATAAAGTTGATGCCTTATAGCTTGTTCCTGGTGGAAATCGACCCAACAACTGATTTTAGCCCAAAGCCTTATACTGCACCTTATACTGAACTCCTTACAGCACACTTGACAACATTCTTGTTATGGTAAACATACATGCAGCATCACAAATGGACATCTAATTAAAGTATAGACGTTATTCTAGTTTTCAGGTTTGATCAGGAAAACAAAGGTCTTGTATGTACAGAGGGGTAAAGGGAGGGGGTGAAAGTTGTGTGGGCGTCCTTCGTGCTACATTCAACCACACATGCAGATACATTTGCACAGGAATGTGTTAGTGTATCTAACTGCTTTGCATACATAAAGATCCACCTGTCCTTCAGTTAAACAGTTAGATCAATGGTACAGTCATACCTTGTACTTGTGTCAGCATTATACAAAGCACTTTTTAAAATCATCTGTCGATGTGAATGCATTTGTGTTGTAAGTTCCAGGTTAGCTGAAAACTACAGCACAAGTTTTTGTTGATGGCGCAAGAGACATGTTGATTATAAATACACTTTTAAAATACTAATACAAAAGTATTTTATGCAATATTTGTATATTTTATGTATTTTTATGCCTGAGTTTACACTGTTAGCTTAGCATAAATTCAAAAGAAGACTATTGTAAGTCGCATAAGAAGTGCTATTTTTGTAGTGCACGGACTTGCTATTTCTGTAGCTGCTTCAAATCGTTCCGTACGAGGTTCCATGATGTTGCTTAATGACCTATTGGATTTTCTAACTTTATTTGTGGGATCAAATGAGAAAAATAAGATATCATTTTATTTTCACTATAAGTTTCCTTGCTGCAAAAAAAGACATTTACTGTTTAGCTCCACCAAATGTAGACGAATCAGGATGCTGCTCATTTGCATAAAGAGAAACCTTTCTCAGCTTTGTTGCATTGCTTGACATTGCGAATCATATCATCAACGTCAACTTTTGCTCAAGTTGTTATGTCCGGTTGTTTTGACGCTTCGAGACGCTATTAGTGTGAATGTCCACTTACAAAGAAACCTAAATCTATAAAATTAGATAATGGTCATAATCATACAGAAAATATGTATGATATGAACATGGGGTGAAAACATAATGCTAAACATGTAAATGTTGGGAAAAAAACCCTCTTTCGTTTTTTGGTGAATTTGCCAAAAACAAAACAAAAAACGATTCAGCAGGGTGCCAGTAGCAATGACTATATAATCAATTATTTACATAGAGTTTATTGACTTCCAGGGAAGGCTTGTAAACCTGTTTAGTTTGATTTCTTAGTCAACCGTAGAAAATTCTTGTTTATGCTAGTGTATAATGCTGTATGTGAACAACCTGTGTTATCAGCTCTGCTGACATACCTCCTACTTGAAATCTGACCTATATTTGTCTTTTTATAGATCCAAAGATGACCTAGCACATCATTTTATGGAATGTTTATAAAACTGGGGGGAGCTATGCTAACAATAGGCCTAGATAATGTTCACACCTAGAGCAAATAAAGGATATTAGAAACTTAGCATTTGTATTGTCTAAAAAAACTTCAACCAGAGCTTAGTTAAGCTAGCTAAAATTAATCTAAATGTTTCAATGTTCCTCCCACATTACAATTATTTATTCAAGTTGCTGCCTGAAATATTTAAGTACATTCAACTTGGATGTTTAAGTCATTTCAACTTAATTTACATTAAACTGGCTTAAAAAATTAGTTGAATCTTGTATCACATAAATAGTTGAAAAGTGCTTTGTTGAGTTAAAGCGATGTAAAGACATATGTTGTCAACTTATTGATCATATACATTTACAGTGTGTAAGTTGCTTAAAAAAAATAGTAAGGTAAAAGTAATTACTAAAATGTATAAATTAATTTGTGAAGCACAGAACTTTCACAGATCCCAGTTTCCTATTATGAATGGATATTCTGTATAATTACAATTTGTTTAACATAGTGAGTTGAATCTACTTTTTTCAACACATAGATCATCCAAAAATCAAATTACTAATGAATTGCTCTGTCTCTTAACTGGAAAATCAGGTTGCCAGTTTCTTTCCACTATCATGAAACCCATCTGATGTATTCATCCCAGACTGGTGTGTTACTATGGTGATGTCTACTGTAATGTATGAGGAAAAGAAATATCTATAAACGCATCTATTGGTGTTTATGACATTTCTTACAGTGACTGACATTTCCTTCACCTGTCATTTACAGCGCAATAGGGGGCATTATTTACACTCAATTTGGATGCGTTGTTTACAGCATGCAAAGGGTTTCCCAGTTACACTGGTGCCCTAAAAGTGTTTAGACACTTTCACACTTAAACATTTATGAATGTCAGTGCATTACATAAAAATAATCAAACCAAATGCCATCTGCAACAAATGATGCTTTTCATAAAAGTAAATTCACCCCTTCAAGCTATTTTAGCAATTTTTTTCTACAACTGGTCCCAATTTTAGTGGATGCATAAAGTCGGTTCCACTAAATTAGCTTTAACCGCAAAGTGTCCAAATAAATTTGAACAGTATATCGTTATATTGAAAACCTTGCTTAAAAAAAGATTATTGACTTCTAAGAGTTTGGGTTAACCCAATATTCCTCCACTGAATAAAAAAGAAGTTGCCTTAAATTTTTAAGCACAACCAACTTAGATGTTTAAGTCATTTCAACTTAAATTACATTAAACATTTTTTTTTTTGAATCGAGTACAACTTATTTTGATGAGTTAAACGTGATTCTATGTTAAAAAAAAAACTCAAGAGTTTTGAGAATGTTACACGTATAACATGTTTAAGCAAATGTTGAGAGAGTAAAGGCAAAAAAGGCACAAAATTCACATTTTTATATACGACTATTGATTGTCGCTTGTTAAACTGAATTGTTTTGCATCATCTGAGACCATCACTGAATTGCATGAGTGATTGAAACCTGTTCTGCAGAGAATCAAAGATAAATAAAGTGTCATATTGCTCACCAGAGATGATGAATGTGATCCAGATGGACTGCTACTTGTAGAAAGTTAAATGTCTTTTTCTTCTCTCTCTAAAGTTTTCAGCGTCTGTATGGGAGAGAAGATTTGAGTTTAATGGAGAGACTGCGTTGTGTACCTGTGACAAAGTTTAGGCCTGCCAAATTCTGTGACGGAGTGTGACCTCGTTCACCAATGAGGATTTTTATTCCGTCTACTTCCTGTTGCTTTGATTGGCTTCTTTCATGTCAGGTTGGTTACTAGGTATTTGCATAGTGTAAGAAAGGTACTGTTGTAGCAAGTCACTTTCAATATGAACACACTATCAGTCTCTCTCTCTTTCTCTCTCGCCCACACACTCACCCACATGCTTCAGCAATCCTGCCAGTAATTAATCTATTGATGTTTAACAAGAACCGAACTATCCAGTCGTCCTTTTTATTTTAACGGTTTTTTTTCTTTTTCTAAGGGTAAAAATTAATAACAGAGCCTGTAAACAAAAATCTCACAAAGCATTATTTTCATGCCAAATAAGCACATAACCCTGCCAAAGATTTCTTTTGAATCCCCAATCTGTAAATTTAATTCAGTAAAACGGGATTGTTTTTGGCATTACTGTAATAAGAATTTTTTTTTAAACAATACAGTAAAAAAAAAAATGCTAGTGGTCCTAAAAATAAGTTGATTATGCCATTTTTTCTTTTAAGGTGACGTTGTTACATTGTACTTATACTCAAATAAGCACTTATTTAATATTAATATTAATTAACTACGTTAACTTACTATAGAGTTACGGCTAGGGTTTGGTTAAGGGTTAGTTACATAATTTACTGTTATTACTTGTAAGTACATGTAGTAACATGTAACTACGTCACCTTAAAATAAAGTGTTACCATTTTTTTCTTTTGTCATAAAATATGATCTTATAGCTACCGAGAGCTTTCCTGAAATTCTACACAATAGCCCCTTTCACACAGAGATTCCGGAAAATACACGGATAAAGCGACCCGGGATTTGACCCGGGTTCGTTTGATTTTGGTTCATTCACACTGCCAGTGATTTTCCGGAATCAGAGAGTGCGTTCACACACAACCCGTAAAATTCCCGTAAAGACACGTGACATCGATGTGACATGTAATGTCTCAGCAACGTGTATAGTTTGCTTATGAGCTGCGATTTCTCTCTGGAGAAACCACGCTTGTGCATTTTTTTCTCTGATTCGATCATAAACTAGCGCATTACGTACCGTTTCACTAGCCTGCTTTCACTTCACTTCAAAAAGATTTGAGTTTTGTGTGAAAGTCATCATTACGTCATCATTACGACACGGCATTGGTTACGGCTTTTGTTCACACAGCGCGCGTTCCGGGACTGATCCCGGCAATGTTACTATAGGTCCCCAACCCGGCATCGATCCCGGCATCAATCCCGGGTCGTGTTTGCGTTCACACAGAAGGCGTTCTGACAATTTCCCGGCAATTTCCCGGGATCAACGCGCTGTGTGAAAGGGGCTAATCACTTTAGGTTCACTTGTTCAATTGCTTTTTCACACAAATATCTAATCAGCCAATCCCATGGCAACAAATCAATGAATTTAAGTCTCATTCAGACTGTCAGCCCATAACATAAACAGAAGCTAAACCGTATTTTCTTGACGCGCGAGAACAAACCTCGCTGGTTCTTGCGGAAGCTCGAACGTGCTGTGAGTTGATGAATCTTTGTGTGTGAATAAAAGCCTAAAGTCAATCAGTTCATCATATAAAGTGACCGAGTCAAACCACTCAATTCATATGGATTAGTTTAACGATCTATTTATGAACTTTTTGAAGCGTCAAAGTGGTAGTTGCGTAGTCAATGGGAGGGACAGAAATCTCTCAGATTTCATTAAAAAGACCTTTATTTGTGATCCAAAGATGAACGGAAGTCTTATGGGTTTAGAAAGACATGAGGGTGAGTAATTCATGACAGAATTGTCATTTTTGCTTGAAGTATCCCTTTGAAAGCTGGGGAAAGAAGGACATCAATGCAGTAATAATCTCAAAATAGTAAAACAATGTTTTGCATAAGACAAAACAACCTCCACACACTGCAAACTCCATTGTCCTATCAAAACATGATCAAAAACAAGCCGCATGCCTCCTGGTCTCAGTTCCATATGATGGAGACGAACATGCTGCTTCCTTGATCTGAGGTCTGAACGTTCACTGACATACACAGAAACAGCAGGCCGCGGGCGCTCAGGTCAGCAGGTATAGCTTTACGCCTCTGATTAAAGAGACTCTGAAGCTTTAAGACTCATAATGGGTAAATCACAGAGGAACTCTGCTTCACTCCGACTCAAACATATGTGCTGGATACGTCTGTAACCTCACACACTTCGGCCAACGCAACATCTACACACAAAGCAGGTCACAATTTGAGACATTCGCTAGCAAACATGTTTGCATTGTGTGGAGTCTGATGCGATGTTTTTATGAACTGAAAAGCTTTGAATAAAATATGAACAGTGTTATTTGTTTTAGTATTATTTACAGATTGTAGCATGTGAATACGTTGTGCCCTCTTATTATTTTGACTTATTGGATTGTCTACATTTCACTTGATGTACGTTTGGAAGACTCTGAGCTGAAAGTCTCCTCAAATTGTTTTCGTTTGATTTGTTTCAAACACTTTCAAGATTAAATTAAGATCTAATCTACTGCAGCAGGGCTTAGATTTAAGATCAGTGGTTAGGTCGAGTCATGAGGAACCGTTGCCAGAAAACCCGTTTTGAAAAGCGAAGCGTTCGCTCAGTCTGTGAAGAAGGGCTACAGCTCACGCACTCATTACAGAAGAGAAATCCTTCTTTCCTTCCTTCCCTTCATTTTCCCCGATCCCTTCATTAGGCTCTCATCAGCACGTTCAAAGCTGTCATCTTTAATATTTCACATGAGGTGGAGAAAGAGACAGAGAAAAGAAAGAGAGTGGATGATTTTATTAGGGTCAATTACAGCTACAAATGGCAATTTCTCGGGCTAAATTGCAATTTTACGTCCTTTTTGTGAGAGAACAATGACTATGTAATTAGAGTAATGAGCACCGCATCAGCCGAATGATTTGTGCTGAATGAAGGGATTCTTGTGTGTGTGTGTGCATATGCACGTGTGTCTATTTGTTGAACATTGCACATGATGGCTAGAGTAATTATACGTATTGTCTAATTACACCAGTTGAACTGGAGAGTCCTATGTCGCGGTGTGTTATGACCGTATGTGTCTGACTTCCCTTCTCTTCTTCCTCCTCCTCCACAATTGCATTCTGGGAGTAATGGGCCAATGAGCCTGCAGTTCCTCTCCAGGCCACTTGATGGCACTGTGAGCTCACTAAAGTGACACCACATTGCTCGAACAGCACAAGTCCTTGTTTCAAATATGAAAGCTGTCTTGTAAACCACTACTTGGCATGTAGTTTTTCTTTTGAGATATATATTTTTGATTTCACTTGTTTTTACTTTGTTTTACAATACAAAGACTTAGGCTACCATTCTTCGAATTGGCCTATGAGAATGGTAAATGCTTGAAAAGGACTTTCTCATATAGTAAGTGAATTTTGGGGAAAAGGGAGGAAGCATTTGTTATGTGCAAAACCTAACTCCAATGCTTCAGTGGTGTGGGTTGTTTCCATGGTGTTGCTAGGGTGTTTTGTGGTTGCTTATAGGCCCGAGTCACAAAGAGCCCAATGCCAAGTTTTTATACTATTCTGTTTCTGTTTCTATTGTCGCATTTTTTTTAGGAAAGCATGATACCATATCTGTCGAGTGAATAGGCCCTAAACAATTGGCAGTACATTAAATTGTATTACATTTGTAAATAGTACTAAATTATTTAAAAATAAACTAATATTAAATAAATAAATTGTATAGAAATCTATAAATATAAAACAAAAATAAATATTTAAAAATGGTAAACAGTACAATACTATTTAAACATCTATAAATATTACATACATATAAATATAAATGATAAAAATAAAATAGAAATACATACATATTTTAAATCTGTAAATAATACAAAATTATTTAAAAATAAATATAAATATTAAGATATAAATGATACATTTACATAAATACATAAATTATCACTAAATAAATGAATTAATAAAAAATATTATTACCACTATTATTACTTATTATTAATTCTCAAATAAAATAATTGTATTAATATAACACTATCATTTTATTTAGACAATAGAATATAATTTTACTGTCCACCACAAATAATTTCTTCTTTATTGGGATCAGTAGACATTTAATATCATCCATGCCGCATGGTGCATCCCTAAATTTCTTTGCCCGTTTAATCACCCTCAAGGTCAAAATCATAAGTCTGATCACTTAGAAACATAATAGCACACATTTTCTACAACAATCTGCATGATTTGAGGTTTGTAGTGCGCCAGTTATGCATTACATTTTTTTAACTTAAAGGGATAGTTCACCCAAAAATGAAAAACCAAAGTTTCTTGTCCATTCTATGGAAGTCAATGCTGCCCATCAACTGTTTTTTCATGGGTGAACTCTCTTTAAGGTTAAAGTGCCCAAAATAACAAAAGTACAAGTGCTAATTATAGAAAAGCTTTGTGATCTCTGTTCTGTATGAACGATCTTTTCTGCAGCCCACCTGCAAGTCAGTGTTGTTGAATTAGCAATGCTCTCTATAGAACCATATAAACCCCTGTTATCTGTTACATGCCCGGCAGCCTGCAGGCTACGGCCCAAGCGAGCCTCCTGTGTCCGGCATCTGCTGTCCAGCGCTGCCCTCTAAAATCACGACCGCTGTGGATTTCTCTGGCTTTGCTTGGGCAGAAGGGCTCGGGAAAACCAAGCTTCTGATTGGCTGGACATCGGTAGAGAGGCTTAAATTGGACAACAGAGGCAGAAGCTCTTCTGGAATGATAGTTGCACTAAAAGCCACAGGGTGTGCTAAGGTTGTAAATACACAGACCGAGTCACAGATGGGTAAATCACACTTCAAATCATTTCAAATCGTTTTGGTGCGCTGCCCACATTAAGTCTCCGCGAGAACGTCGACAGGCTTTTGCAACAATTATAGCGCTCTTTTGTGTCTGTGGAGGGGTTTTTGGGGAACAAATTGTGTCTGTGGAGGGGTTTTTGGGGAACAAATTAATTCTGAAAGACTCATTC